TCAATTGATCGATAATAAACCACAAATAAATCTCCGAGTATAGGGTCAGAGCTCTAATTGCCTCAATAAATTTATAATCACAATTTTGATATTCAAATACCAATAAAATAATCTCCTCAATATAAAAACGAGTTTGTTCAAATTATATATCATCTAATAAACCACAAAGTTAAAAATTATATCAAAATTCATCTGTCTTCGATTCTTTAAAAATCAACTCTGGTCCTTCCCTCCAAGATAATCCTGAAATATATTAAAGGCGGAGAAATATATAATATGACAGGAAACAATATGATCAACGAAAAAAGAATATGAATGATAAAATACCAAATAATTCATTTGATAGACAATCATAGATAAAAGAATCAAGAATCTAATTCGATAAGTCACATAACTCAATATTTATCAAACCTAGCCTCATACTCAAGTCCTCTTGGTGACATGACAAATGACATCTGGACATTTAAAATTCATACTCATATCGAACCATTATACCTCTCAGGGTTGTAATCACAATCGCACCCCGCAGGGTCATAATCACATTTCACCAATTATGCTCTCAAGTACACTTTGTACATGTACCAATCAATTCCAAAGTATTTAACCCAACGTACACGTACAGGTCAACCGATAATATTAACAGAATTTCATATAAATCAAAATAATCAATAAAAATACAAAATTTCAGATAATGAAATGATACTTTTTGCAAATATATTTAAAAGATAGGAGCATATTGTATACTACCTCGTACCTCAAAATCATTAATATCTTCAATAAATAAGAAATTTGAATTACTCCGCATAGGACACTTCAATTTGGTAATGATCAAAAGTAAAATTTTTTATTTAATTTTTGACCCCAAAATCTCATAAATTTCTCTCTCTCTCTCCATCTTTTTCTCTTATTCTCTTCCTTCCTCTCTTTCTCCCTTCCTTTCTTCTATTTGATGCTTTGCTCCAATGGCCAGGTGATGGCTATTTATAGCCAATTTGTGGCTTGGCCTCCAAACATCACATGGACACTTGTCCATGTTACTTACCTTTCCTTTTTTTTTTTTTTTGAATTTGAGCACATGGTAATTGACTCATACTCTTATATTTTGACATCTATATATATATATATATATATATATATATATATGTATGTATGTGTATTTAAATATATTACACATTTATTATATCATTTGAATAACACATCATTTTTAACTCAAAATATGACCTACATTATAGTTATGCGATCCGTTTTCACATAAAGAATTTCTATTTGAAGTTTATTTATTTATTTGAAATTTCTAAAAATCACCCTTAATTATATAGAATCATAATTGATGACCTAATTAAATGATTAATTTATATACGGGTCGTCACACAAAGGCTCATTCCAATAGATTTAGATGAGGAGGGCGCCTACTACTAGACTCTTGTTGCTAGGCGTTTAGTGCTGAGTCCTCTTGACAATCTCTCTCCTCAAGCAGTGTGAGCTCAGTCACAAAATTTGTTAATGCCTGTGCCTTTGTGGCTTATTTTTTTAGAGTCGGGCACAGTGGTGATGATGATGGTGAGGACTCACCTCGCCTGACTTTGGTGACATCCTTGGCATTTATGTATTTTTGAGATTTTGCCCACAATTCTGGCATACACTTTGGTGGGTGTTTCATCATTGAGAAGATAAAGCTAGATGAGCATAGGCCTCTCAAGAAAGCGGTCATGATGACCTTGTCATCAGCCTCCTCAATGTGAAGGACCTCTTCGTTAAAACGAGTGAGGTAACTTCTCAGACTTTCATCCCGATTCTGCTTTATACTGAGCAGGTGAGTGACAGACTTCTCCTGGCAGCGCCTTTCGATGAAGTGTGACACAAAGGACCTGCTTAGCTCAACAAATGAGCCAATAGATGCTAGGATGAGCTTGACAAACCACTGTCTGGCTGATCCGTTTAGAATAGTCGAGAACACCCTACACATGATTTTGTCAGGGACATTGTGTAGTTGCATCAAACACTTATAGGTGTCGAGGTGATCTAGTGGATTTTTTGTGCCATCAAACGATTCCACCGAGGGTATTCTGAATTTTTGGAAAAGTGGGTAGTTTGCCATATCGGCTACGAAAGACGTGTCTGTTCACCTTACGAGATAGTCCACAGTCTTGTGTCCTTGTGCCTTCATGGCGTTGAAGACGTCGCCCAGTTAATTCTACACCTCGTTGATTTTTTTCATCCCATTAATTAAGGGTTTCTTTCGAATTGTTATGAAAATGACTCTCGTGCTCCACACTTTGATTATTGCTCTCATTCTCTTGGAAATGAGGGTCTCCACCATGGAAATAAAGAGCTGGAGGAGAAGGCGGAGTTACCTCATAGTTCTGAGGAAGGGCTCCCCTGTGTAGGGCGCCCAAAGGGGCACCCAAGTGGGGAACTTCTTGACGCCCAGGGCGTGAAGCTCCACTGGCTTGATGTCATACAGGTTGTGCTCCTTCTTGTTGTCAAGCGAGCATTAGTTGCTGGATTTGTTGATTTTGAGCTACGAGCTATTGCATTATCTCCAGTATCTGTTGTGCATTTGGAATATGATTGGTTAGTGGAGGAGCAACCTCCTCCTCTCGTGATGGATTGTCTTCAGGTTAATTCATGGATTTGATGGTGATCGTCATAAGTACAACAAGAAAAGTGATCAAGTGAGAATTTTTTCGTTTCCCATAGACGGCGCTAAACTGATGATGTACAAATTGAGTTTGTACACCACTTGACATGATAAATGAGCAAATAATAAATGCAGTAATTAAGAGAGACACAAGTAAGACAAGATTTATAGTGGCTCGGTCAACATAATCTATGTCCACTTTAAATGGCTAGGGTCGTCAGATATTTTATTACTTCAAGTGTGTAGAGAGAGTAGAGAATTACAAGCTTTGAGAGGGAAATGAGAGATGTGCTCAGTTGAATGTAATTTGCCCCCCCCCCCAAGTGTTGGTGGGGCTTACAATTTATAGTCGCCTCTTCACAGATTGAGACTACTTAATAGTAACTAAATAGCTAATCTGGTAGAGCTGGCGACCCATTCTCAACGGATGAGGTAATTACGATGTTCTCCATAAAAATCGGTCAAAGGATGAGGTGGTGGTTGACTTCTTCCAAGGTGACATGGATGAGACTCTTGAGATAATCTTACTCCATGGTGGCTTAGAGAAGGCTCTTGGGATGACTCTTACTCCAAGGTGGCTAGGAGGAGGCTCTTGGATGACCCTTACTCTAAGGTGGTTAAGAGGAAGCTATTGGATGACCTTTACTCCAAGGTGGCTAGGAGGAGGCTCTTGGAGACCCAGCTTACTCTGTTGGTGAGCTTGACCGGGTGTAAACTCCTTTGGACTGGATATGGATCTTTATAAGTTTGAGTTCTTAATTAAGACCGAGCTTTCAACATGAGTTGTGTCATTTAGACCTGGTCCATCAATTACGGTAACCAATGAATTTTATTTCTGAAAAATCAAAATGCAGAGTGAAAGTCTTTGATATAGACTTTCTGATGATCACTCTAGAAATCCTCAATTCCTCGTATCCTCATCAATCGTAAGGAATGAGTAGATGCTGCGTCAGATTTTTGACTAGAGGGTAGATACTTTTGGACAATTATTTCAAGAGATTACGACGGGAATGAATATTCTGCGGAACGGTAATATTAACCCATTGATGATAAATGTTGTTATGATCTTACAGCGAGAGATTACATTTGTCAATAAAAAACATAGTATGTCTATCTAATTGTATTCTAGTCCTATTTGGGTGCCACATTAATATAGACAGGTGAACTCATTAACAATATTTACGGCCTCACGACACCGTTTTGTGGATCTTCAATTCTGAGAATGCCATTGAATGAGAATTATCTCATATTGATTAGTATGTGCATAACATGAACATGTGTTTACACGTGATAATCAATCTTAATTATCGATATTCAATCAGACTATGATTGGATGGATCGGTATCTAGAGGAGCACAAGAGCTCAGAAGCCCCCAACCTCTGGCCATGGTCGAGGGCTCAAATCCCTGTAGTAGTCTACCATAGTGATGCCTCAAATTGAAGTTTAATTCCACATTGGGAAACTCTGCCTCAATCAATAGAACTCCATACCTTAGTATTCATGTAATCAAGTTCACAACCCAATGTGTTGCAGCATACATTTCATTAACTTCAGGGAATGATCACCACCCGCTGTACATGTTAAACATTTATTCTTAACTGCATTACAATAGGGATGTTGCTTATTTACCAAACAAAAAAGAGGGATGCTGCTCCACCCACACACCACCACCACTACCCCCCCCCCCCCCCCACCCCCCCCCCCTCCCCCCCCCCCCCCCCCC